AAAGGGGGTGGGGGATGTGGGTGGGTGTGGAGGGGTGAAGGGGGATTTGAGTCACTGTGTGGGTAGTGTGGGTGTGGGGGCTGTGGGTGTGGGGGCTGCTTAGGAGGGGCATGAGCTCCTCTCAACCCCCACATTTTCTGAATTTGGGAATTTAATAACAGTGATGGAGAAAAACAAAACAAGATAGTTAATTGTCCTTCTTTGTATAACTATTCATGAAACTGCTCTTCTCACAGATGCTTAAACATATTCTTCTGTTTTTTCCTTTAGTAATATTTCCAAGAATTCCCTACAGTCTATCCTGCTGCAGCTCGAATGTCACTTTACATGGACTTTGCTGAAGGAAGATGTTGATCTTGATGACCTAGAAGAAACCATCTGTGATCAGATTGAGTTTCTAATCACAAAATCCAAAATTTCAAATTATAATCTGCTATCCTATGTGAAAAACCTGAACGGCAACAATGAGGAAGCCCTGCAAAGTCTACAGAAAGCTGAAGCAGCAGCTCAAAAAGATCATGCAGGTGAGGTTCACAGGAAAAGTCTTGTCACCTGGGGGAACTATGCTTGGATTTATTACCATATGAACAAACTTCAAGAAGCTCAAACCTATGTAAGCAAGGTGAAAGACAGCTGCAAAGAGCTATCAAGCACCTCATGCTATAAGTGTCAACTTCCAGAAGTCTATTGTGAAGAGGGGTGGGCATTGTTAAAGTTTGGCAAAAAATATTATGAAAGAGCAAAGAAATGCTTTGAAAAGGCTCTAGCAGAAGAACCTGAAAACCCAGAATTTGCTTCTGGCTATGCCATTGCAATGTATCGCCTGGAAGATGATCTCACCAAAGGATCCTCTTTGGAACCTTTAAGGTGTGCAGTGACACTGAATCCAAATGATACCTTTGTCATGTCATACCTTGCATTAGAACTTCAGGACATGGCTCAAGTCGAAGAAGGGGAAATGTACATTAAAAAGGCATTGCAAAAAACCCCAGATCTTACCTATGTACTACGATATGCTGCAAAATTTTACAGAAGAAAAGGGGAAGTGAATAAGTCACTGCAATTTTTGGAAAAGGCATTGACCTTTACACCAACCTCTAGCTTCTTGCACCACCAGATTGGTCTTTGCTATAGAACAAAGATGTATCAGTTGAAAAAGGCGACAAAGCAGTCATCTCAAGAGCAGGTAGAGCTCATTAGACTTTGCATTTTTCACTTTAAAGCAGCAGTGGAGAAAAAAACAAAGTTTATATATGCCTACGTTGACCTTGCACGTATGTATGCAGAAGGAAAAAGTTATCAGGAAGCAGAAGACACTTTTCAGAAAGTATTGAATATGAAATTAACCTGTGAAGAGAAACAACAAATCCACTGCCGCTATGGACAGTTTTTGGAATTTCACAAAAAATCAGAAGCTGA